ATTCAATATCTTTTAGTTTTCTGAGATGTCTCAAGCTATTAATTTATTTAACACTTTTACGTTTAATCAGAATCAAATTACCATCATTTTTTAAATCATTGAAACCTATCTCAGCAGTTATTCTTTCTAAACTTTCTACTTGTTTTGCTTAGTCAAGCTTTGTTCTAAATCAATGTCTTTCTTCAATAATTAGTCCAATTCCTAGAACAGATTAGAATACTTTTGTCCTATTATGCATTCACCCACTATGTTAAAAACATGTAAAATCTGTACACATCATAGATTTTATTCTCCATTGACAAGCAAGCTTCTGCCTTTCATCATTGTGGTATTTGTCATCATTTCACAACTATCAATTTGATACAAATTTTGTTTTTTATAATTAATATTTCAAAAATAAGCAACCTTATTATGTTACATACATTGATGTTAACAGTGTCTTTGATTTCATTTTATCAAATATTCTTGACTTGTTTTACAAAAATATGATATCAACCCAGCAATTCATTCTTGGCTCAATTACTTGTTTCAAATCAAAATATGCAAGGAATAAAATCAAGAAATTCATAATGTGGATGTTCAACAAGAATCTATTCTCAGTGGCCTTTTTATTGAATATATATTAACAATCTTTGCCATCTTAAATCCAATGTTGTAGCTCACATTGACAATATTAAGCTGGTATGTTTTATAAAACTATATTCTCATTTATGACACCAAATATACTATACATAAGAAATTGTCTTTCAGTGTTAAATTGATATGTCCAATCCAAAAGATCCTACAGATATTTACTTGCTGAAGAATCTATTTGAATCTGCTAATTCTCAGGATTAATAAACAAACTGTGATTATGCATTTTGCTTTAAATTTTCACAATCTCCCTTACCTACTTTTTATATTGACTCTACTCCTATTAATTATATTACATCATTCTGTGATCTGGGAATAATCTTTGATAATAAACTTACTTTTAAAAATCATATTGCTATAGTTAAATCTCTGGCTATTAGATACGGAATATTATAGCATTTCTGTAAACCTTTTAATGCACTTTAGATATGATATTTCTTTTACCAATTTTTAGTCTTGCATTGATTATGAATCACCTATTTGTTCTGTGGCTATGTCTTCCCTCTTGGATAAAATTTATTTACCTCTTAATAAGTTATGCAACTTACCATATACTCAAAATTCTAGCTTTGCTAAGATCAGATTAGGTTCTCTTTTGTTTTTTGAACACATTAAATATTTTGATCACTTAATTTACTTTAATTTTTTAATGGTTTTATTTATTATGATTGCTTTTTTATGTATTCCATCAAAAACCTACCACCTTCATCTTGTGTGTTCACTCCATTCTTTCACTTTGAGTGTATCTCAGAGGTCCTTTTTTTTATTGTATTTCTTGAAATTTAAGTAATTTTGAGGATTTTGTATTTCTTAATTTTTCTTGTTTTAAATTAAAATGTAAAAATGTATTGTTTAATTTATGTAATTTATTGTCTTTGTTTTTATGTATATTTGTTAATTTTTGGGGCATAAATATCAACTGTCCTTTGGGACTTTTCTATTTACCTGTAAAAGTAAAAAAAATAAAATTAAAAACCTAGTGATTTCTAATGGAATATCTAGATATGTCACCATGATTATCCTGAACTATAGTTATTAATATAAAGCCATTGTTTCTTTAATCATCATTTTTTAATGTTTTAATAATTATTACTTTTAAAATTTAAAATTATGTTTTTCAATGCAATGGTTATCAATTTCTCCAATCCAAACAAAAAACTCTGAGATGTAAAAAAGTAGCACCAAGTAAACACTTGATAATTTGGATGATAGTTAAATTTTTTTCTTAAGAGTTTTTCTTTGGTAAAGATAAGCTAGGTGCTCGATGGAAAATGTAAAAATCTTGCAAGTACCACTTCAAAACGCCAAGTTCATCTTTATCAAAAGAAAAAATTTGACTCATCCAAATTGTCAATTTTTATTTGGTTCATTTTTTTTACATTTTAAATGTCTTTGTTTGAATATCAATTGTTTTTTTGGTTAATAAGTGCATTATTACATCAAGACCTAAGACAATGACAAACTGTACAGTTTGATGGCTACTCAGTGATGTGACAACTGCCAACCAACTTTTTCAATATACCATTAGTAAAATTGTTTTTAAAAGTTTAATTTGCATTGATTCAAATTTTTGTTATTCTGGATACTAATCTGAGTGAAAATCATTCGTTTCAATGCAATTTTATCCTTACAAGCATAAAACAAAGTGATAAAAGTAAAATAGCTCTAAGGGAAACCACTGTGAACTTTGACTCATTGACTCAGAAGTTTCACCACCACCACCTCACCAATAACATGAGACTGAAATTTAAAATCTGAGCTTTCTAGACCCAGTAGTTTCTCTCTAGGAACATCTGCAGTACCAGATGAAGAAAATACAGGTCATCTTTTTTGGCAATTTTTGCACTTTTTGATTGCTTATACTTCAGAAACACCTTTACAGAAAAACATGAAATTTTATACACATTATCTTTTGAACAAGATATTGAGAATTATTATAGGCATTTGGAAAACAGAAAAATTGACCCCTGAAAAATCAACTCTGATTCATGTATATATATAATCAGTCAGTGACAACTTCGGTTTGATTTGGAGTCATTGCTATAACTCACTTATTGTAAAATTAATTGTCACTTTGATTAATTGGTGGTGGAGATGCTGAATAGTATAATTAACAATTAGCAAATGATTAACTGGCACATCTGTAGTGTATGAACAGTACATAGTGTTTTTCACTAGTTTAACTTTTTCAATATTGCAGAAATCCTTTTAAATTATTATTCTTCAGTCTATATATACTCAGCATACAAAATTCTAGATTGTTTTGTAACAATCATATTTCATTAAAATTAGTATTAATTTCAATTTTACCTATAATTAAATCATTAACACTATTTATTACCTGGAATATGCTTGATGATTCTTCTCTCTTGCATCACTAGCATCTAGTTTTTCATCCCATAATGAATCGTCATTTTGGCATTTCACTGAACTCATTTTCAAAGTTCTGAAATTTATTATAATANTTGGTTGTCATTACATCCATTGACGTTATAATCGGGTTAAACTGTATATTGTTTGTGCAAAATAAAAAAATAATTTCGGACGATACAATAACCACGATTATTTTTCAAAAACGAGAAATTTTCATTACGCATCAACAAAAATTCAACCAGGGCCGACATGAAATGGAGAGAAATTTCAAAATTGGATAGGTTAATTTCACTGAAAATGCATGATGAATGACCTCGTGGTCGTGGCTGGCAAAGTTTGAACGATCGTTCCCAAAAGCAGCTATACCAAAGAAGATTGGATAATGAGAATGAGACCCGCCTTAAGCATCAAAGTGAGCAGCCAAATGGCCGAGCGGTCAAGGTGGCAACCTACCACTCTGGGGGACTGGGTTTGAATCCGAATGGGTCAAAAAATCCCAAGGAATTTTTCAGGGGGTGGTCCATTCGGATATGTCGGGCCCCGTCCCTCACCACCTGGCAGCCCCATTGTGGGCCTGGTCGAACCCATAATGGGCTTGCAAAATGAGGCCCTCTTTGTGCCCACAGGGCAGAAAGAGTACTTAAAAAAAAAAAAAAAACAAAACAAAACAAAAACAAACAAAAAAAAAAAGGCGTCAAAGTGATTCCACTTAGTAGTGAGTCTCTGAGACATAGTCTTGTACCAAATATGGTTTTGCCGTTTTACTTGTTAATTCTAATTTTCAAAATCCAGTCTCCCAAAAATTCTATTCTTACTTATGAAGATTGTCTGTTATAATACAAATTCTCAGAGAAACGAGTCAAAATATTACTTTAAGATTAATATGCAAGTTTTCTTTTTCATGAAATCTTCAAACTTAAATAATAAACATGCTGTCATGTTTTTAAAACACACTAACATGACAATATTGCCAGATATTTTTGATAAAAAGTAACCAAAACCAAACTAAAAAAAATCAAAGTGGCCAAATTTTCTAATCTTAATTTAACATATACAGCAATGAAAAAAAAAAAAAAAAACACTTTCAAATATCAATGAATTATCAGTAGCATTGAATATTTGCATAGATGGCAAATAAGAGTTTCTGGAAAGAATGTAAAAAGGAATATGGACAATGCCTTAGACTTTTCATTACTAATGTCCTGTAAGGAACAATTTTGTTTATGCCATTTTCAACACATACATGCACTAGAAAAACTTTGCACTAAAAACTACAAATATTTTTAATACAAAAAGCATATATTGTTTTAAAATGAATCATTATAATGTGTCATCCTAATAAATTTATTGAAATAAGATAAAACTTAGAGAAATTTATATTACAACTAATTAAAAGTTTTAGTTTGCAAAAGTAATCTTTTAAAAATTGAAAACGATAAATCATTAGAAAGAAGTCAATTAAAAACACCTAAATATATGATTAAATTATAGAAAATGTTTAATAATTTAAAATTATTTTGCTCATTTATGATCTTTTCATATGCACATACACACTATCTTTTAAATGGGTTTGCACAGATATCTGAGTACACAGATAACAGCTGTGTGCCAATATTCTGGTATATCTGGATACAAAAATAAATACCTAATGTTTAGTACTAACAGATAATACTTCTTAAAAAATATACAAGTTAAGGCTATTGAATTTCCTACATCATGTTATGTTTCTACAACTCTTAAGGACAATGTAAAATTTCATACTGAAGAGGAGATAAATTATCCCAAAAATACCTATGATTACTGAATGGTAATTTATGAAATAAAAGTATTTGACAAGACAAACATTATTTTGGATAAATTCTTGTAGGAAACTCAGTAAAAAGCATCATAACACAGTTCCAAGATTGACTATTTAAATTAATTATTATTACTACTACTAATTTATTTTCAATTTTATCTATACATAAAACAGCATTAATTAATACTTCTTATACCTGGAATATGTATGATTTTTCTTCTCTCTTTCATCACTAATATCTAGTTTTTCATCCCATAATGAATCATCATATTGGCATTTAACTGAATTCGGCTTCAAATTTCTGAAATTTATTACCATTATAATTATCAATGTGACATAAATACTAAATATTTACAATTTATAACCATTATAAACAATATNACGATTAACATTCATAAACATCGAATACGAAATATTAAATTATAAATTATACGAGAATGAATGAAAATATTCATTGATTACATTTTTTTTAAATAATTTTTTTAAAACAATTTTAAAATGATTATTTGTAAAATAAGTACGGAGTAAATATTCTAGAAATTCGAATTATAAGACGAAATAAAATTTACCTGATATTTTTCTTTTATCAGAAATAAATTGTACTTTGTTATTTAACGCGTACAAAAATATTCTTACATGAACACAATCCGACGGAAATTGTGACAAATAAAAATACAGCGAATCTGAAACATATAAGAAGTTTCTAATTTCGTCCTCCAGAGGGATATAAAATTTTAAAACTATATAATTATACTGTATAATAGCCTATTTATACATATAAATGGAGAAAATACATTAAATAAAATTCTCTAAAATTTTTAATATTTTACTATTTGACTTTATTTGAAATTATGTGTTTAAATTTTACGATATTTTAGCGTTTTACGATATTACAAGTATTTATATTTAAATAGAGTAATTATGTTTAAACGTATTAAACAGTTTGTACTATATATTAATAAATTTGTTAATATTTATTATTATTTTTAATTGGTAGATTAATAAGAATTCGAGTGAAAACATAATAGATATCCGAACTCTGGCTCTTTGAATAAAAAACACGATCAAGCACGAGATTTCTGAATGCGGCGTCTTACGAATGCATGCATTATTTTTTACTATTATATATAACGTATTTCTTAGCTTAAACGTACGAAATATTTTTTTATGATTTTAAAAATGAAATATTACGTTACTTGATTAAATTCCAGTTTATAATTTTTTTTACAATTTTATCATTCTCAAAACATTTCTTTATTGAAAACGTTATTTATTTTTTAATAAAATGAGTTGATGCAAATGCCATGGTTTTTATAAACTCTTTCCGCCCTGTGGCACTAAGAGGGCGTCTTTTAGCAAGCCCATTATGGGTTCGGCCAGTGCCGGCCCGAGACAAGTTTTAGGATGGAGCGATATCATATTATGGCGCCCTGGGGTGGAACTCCGCCCACGCACTCGACCGACGCGCGTCTCAACAGATAAGGCCATTCACATACTGTCCACACGCCTGCAATTAAAATACCGAAAAATGAAAAAAGTATTTTTTCCTTTAATTTTCTTTACCACGGAGGCGCCCCCTAGGACTTAGCGCCTGGAGCGGCTGCTCCGTTTGCCCTATGGTAGGGCCGGCTCTGGGTTCGGCCAGGTTCACAATGGGGCAGCCGGGTGGTGAGGGACGGGGTCCGACATATCCGGACGGACCACCTCGATTCCCTTCTCCACCCTGAACCCAACCGTTCTTATAAGCGACCGCTCGCACGAGACGTACAGTACATACAAACATAACGGTGTCGGACCTGACTTGTTCTTGTTCTTGGTTGGTTGATATGGAGACTTTAGTCTAGTTGGCTCCAGTGGCGTGCCGTGACATTTGATGATAGGGAAGCTGTGTATCTGTAAGAAGCCGACTTACATGGGTAATCAGTTAATTGCGCATCAGGGTATATTCGTATTCGTTTGTTCGATAAGCCAGTAAAAACCGTAGACTTCTCTAAATGTATTTTTAATTAATAGATTATCTAACGCACTTAATAAATAAGCAAGTTCAATATATTTGCCTCTGTTATTAGATTCAATAGATTTCCTATGCCCTCTAAATGCCAATTCTTCTTCGATAACATCTACTAATTTAGATATAATATATCTATTAGCCGTAATTATCTTGTAATAATTTTTAATATTTATTTTATATTATTTACTAATGTAAAATTCTATTCTGCTTTGATTTCCAAATTGCTTCAANTAATAGTGTGTCAATAGAAATAAGAAAAAAAAAAGTGACTCATTTTCAAATGAAACTAGAAAAATCATCAAAACGCATTCTTTTTTGACGGTTTGCGAATATGCTTCCATCTATTAGCAGTCAACGGAGACGAACATTTGCCGCGGCATTCCATATAACCATTAACCACATATATTTTTTTTTATTGTCAACAAATTGATCTTGAATGTTTTCAGTTAGGGATTATTCAATTTACCCACTTAATGGAAACAAATGGAGCATCTAGCCCACCTGTAGAGCGACTCATTCGCTTCTCCCAACCTTTAGGTAATTCTTCGTCTGCCATTTTCTTAGATGAAGATACCATCCAGATACCGATTTAACAACGCCACCTACTCAAAAAAACTAAAATTAAATGCAATAAAATAATCATTAATTGTATTATAGTAAATCTTAGCGAAGTGTGCGAATCTTGGAATATTTTTACTATTCTATTCTAATTAAAAATGAAAAATAGGAAAGACATACTGAATTTTCAATCAATATGCGTTTATTTATCCATGACAAACTGTTAGCTTTTCTGTATGGATTCATCTAATAAATTGAAAAATCATTTCATTCGAAGTAATACAGTATTTAATATTGAATATCCTACAATAGTGGCCGGATGGCAGCCTACCTCTCTGGGGGATCCGGGATCGATTCCGGACGGGTCAAAAACTCCCCAGGAATTTTTGCTAGAGGTAGTCTTTCCGGATATGTCGGACCCCGTTTCTCGCCGCCCATTATGGATTTGGTCAAACCATAATAAGATTACTATAAGAAGCACTCGTAGTGCACACAGGGCGGAAAGAGTTAATTAAAGAAAAAGAAAATCCTACAAATTCATTTTTCAATATTCGCAATATCTATATACAGTACTGTATATTACTCTAGAAGTAGTAATACGCTCATTTCTTTAATATCTGAATTGTAAAGTATTAAGACGATTTAGGTTAAATTTACTTCTTTCGAATATGGTTTTTCATATAAAATTAATAACACATTTAAAAACAAGTTCTCACCATTTCATCATGTAACCCAACCTAATGGATTTTCAACAGGTTTGGATTCAAACCGGTGGGATCGGTCATACTCTTTAATAATGGTACTCAGTGCCGGCCCGAGGCAAGTTTTAGGATGGAGCGAGATCCTATTATGGCGCCCCCTTGGTTGCCCCTAATTTATACCTTTTAATTTTCTTTACCACTGAGGCGCCCCCTAGGACTTAGCGCCTGGAGCAGCTGCTCCGTTCGCCCTATGGTAGGGCCGGCTCTGATGGTACTTATACACGGTAAAATTCTCAAATTGTAAAAAAAAAAAAATCAAAAATTAATTATTAAAATTTACTTTCCTCTTGATTTAACGCGTAACAAAGAAACTCAACAATTGATAATTTATTGTTTTGCTCTTTCATTGTCAAGAGTGCGCTTTGGAAAATGATTCGAAAATGCTTTTTGGTTCTGGATATCGATCTTTGCCTCGACCTTTCGGGTAAGAGATTCTTTTACATTTTATTCCTCTTTATTCAAATAAAGAATTCAATCGAGAAAATGAAGCCTTTAAGAAATAAAATTTGATACGGTAGCTTTTGTGTAAGAGGTATTAATGCTATGAAAATTTGGTGGTTTTGAGTCGCTATTAATTTAAAGAAGCGAGCAAAAGCTTCCTTGGTAGCGACTCAAATTGACAAATCTTGTGAAGTAACGACTCGAACGAAATTTTGCTAATAAAATGGCGTGTTGTGACAGAGGCCAAATTTTAAAGTTCTTAGAACGGGAGATTTCAGAGGTCAAAGATTATCGTCTACCCAACATTCGAAATACGGCGAAGTTCTTCTTGCCAAATTTTTTTAAATGCCTATTTTTTTCTTATTTTTCTTCAAAAATTGACCCAGCATATCTTAACGTATTATACCAGGGTTGGGCAAGCAAAAGTTCAGTGGGAGCCGAAGCGTAGGTTTTGCAAAATGCACGGGAGCCGCAGTTCTGTACTTTTTTATTCTGTACCGCGATTTTATTATATAATATAAATATGTCTTTCTTGATCCAAGAACATTAGAGGTTGCAGCCAAAGTTTTTATCGCAAAACGTGAATGTTGGACATTCAGCGCTGCCATCCTGTATGCCTAAAACACAAAGCAATAAACTGTTCCAGGTGTTTTTTACAGTCTTCCATTAAAAGAAATTTTAAAAATTCATTTTTTTCCTATTAATGAATACCATATATAATTATAGTATCATGTAATAAATTATACACAACATTGTAAAAACAATGTTATACCTGTATTTAACATTAATTACACATTTCAATACAATCAATTCTTCACTTAATAAATTTTTAAACTGAGAGAAATGTTATTTTTCAATTAAGGGACTTAATTGAAAAATAGTATATCCTGCAAAACTACAAAAAAGTTATTAAATTAACTAACAAATTTCTTGACTTTCACAGCCAACTGCAGTGACAACGTTTAGATGCCAACAGCAGTTTAAAGATAAAGTACACCACAGTTTAAAAAATTTCATTGCAGAGACAATGTTTCTTGCTTGCCACAGTTTAGACAGCCATTAGAAACAAGTTATTTGACCTATTTTCTAGACTCTTGATAGCAGGTTTACACACCATTTTACTTGAGTAGATATCGCCATATTTGTTCGTCGCAAACTATGTTATAATGGATATTGTTCATTTAATAAATATTTTAAACGGGACGAATCAAGAAAATTATTCATCTCAACAATTATGAAGAGAGGGAATATGAGATTGGAATAATCCTTTAGAAATCTATTCGAAAGACGAATTTTGAATTTGGTATAGATTTTCTAAATTTAGATTTGTTCATATTTTAAATCTTATTGATGACAAAATTAAGCATCTAGATGAAAGAGGATTGCCATTAACTACTGAATGACAGTTGTTGATTACGATTTTATGCCACCAAATGCTTACAGAGGGTAGCCGGTGGTCTTATCGGAGTTCACATCTCTACTGTATGCAGGTATCTATCAAACTATCATTAAATAAATTTAATGATAAATTTATTTAATATAATGAT